CTGCCAACTTTTCTCGTTCAGGAAAAATTGCCACTTATTTCCTAACCAAGTATTCCAAAGTAAAACTTTGCTCAACTTTAACTGGCTGTACTGGAAAAAATGTACTACGAGAGTTTGGCAAGTAACCTTAAAAGTTGGCGCATTTAATAGCGATTCCACAATGGTATAACACTAAGAAGATTACTCGTTAACTTATGCACAATTTTTATTTGAAAAAAAACTGATGAATATTTTTCAAAATTTCCTAACTAAACAGCGATTATGAAAACGCACAAGGACCCTTAAGGATAACTGTTTGCACAACAGTGGGCGTCAAAATGCTGCTGATGATGATTTACCTTTACAGCAAATGCTCAAACTGTTTTCCTTCAGCCGCAATACACGCTCGAGATTTTCTTAAAAAAGATCGGGTTATTAAACGAGCGAATCCACGGTTATTAACAAACTCAGCTGCTTCCAATAGTCTTTGCCGTAGCTCAGCTACATTTTGAATCGGCTTGAAATACACTTTTTCTTTTACAGTTCCCCAGTAAAAAAATCTAACGGATTCAAATCTGGTGACCGGGCTGGCCACGGTATTGTACCAGACCGCCCTATCCATCTGCCTGGAAAGTTTTGATCGAGATACTCCTCACTGAGAGTGCATAGTGCGCTGGGCAGTCATCATGCTGAAACCACATGTCCCTGTAAATACTCAGTGGCACGTCCACCAATAAATTTTTTACATGATTTTTCAAAAAATCCAAATAAACTTCAGCAGTCAATGTCTCTGGGAACTCAAACGGACCGATTATTTTACCATTTAAAATTCCGGTCCAATGGTTTATCTTGAAGCGATATTGAGATTTATCTTCTCTCATCAAATGTGGGTTTGCTACGTGCCACTCGTGTAAGTTATGCAGGTTCATGTACCCATCTTTCTTAAATGTGGTCTCATCCGACCATAAAATTTTTTCAAAGAACTGTGGATCTTTCCTGTGTCTTTCTAACATTGTGCGACGAAAAGCAACTCGGGGCTCATAATTCCGGGGCAGGAGAGGTTGAACACGCTGTATGTGGTATGGATGAAGCACATCACTTACTTGTTATTGCACACTTTGATACCGATCAGTACTCCTTCGTTTACTGCGCAGCTTTACATGTTCGTGCTTGTTGATTTCGTACTGTTACTAATTTTGGATTCGTGAACTGGACTGTTGATCGCTTGTGATTTGGATTTGGACTGTTTAATTGCTCTTCAAAACAACGTTTGCTTTCCTTAGACTATCTTTGATAGTGTGATTGTGCAGTGCCGCTATGTCCGTGTACACCGTACAAGAATATGCTAACATGCACCTCATTTATGGGGAATGCAGATGCAACGCTAGTGCTGCAGCGAGACTTTACTGTGAGAGGTACCCGAATGCAGCTCGTCATCCAGATCATCGAGTGTTCACAAATGTGCACCTCTTACTGTTCTCAGAGGGCCAACTACCAAACCAATCACACGGTGAGGGAAGATCTTTCCTTCCTTACGAAGACGTGGTGCTAGGAGCTGTCGAAGAAGACCCGAGTACTTCAGTGCGTGCAATAGAACTAAAAACAGGTGTGCCCAAAAGTACAGCCCATAGAATCTTGCAAAAAAACGTGCTCCATCCATACCACGCACAGCGTGTTCAAGCTCTTCTGTCCCGGGATTATGAGCCCCGAGTTGCTTTTTGTCGCACAATGTTAGAAAGACACAGGGAAGATCCACGGTTCTTTGAAAAAATTGTATGGTCAGATGAGACCACATTTAAGAAAGATGGGTACATGAACCTGCTTAACTTACACGAGTGGCACGTAGCAAACCCACATTTGATGAGAGAAGATACATCTCAATATCGCTTCAAGATAAACCATTGGACAGGAATTTTAAATGGTAAAATAATCGGTCCGTTTGAGTTCCCAGAGACTGACTGCTGAGGTTTATTTAGGTTTTTTGCAAAATCATGCACTGTGCACTCTCAGTGAGATGGATAGGGCGGTCTGGTACAATACCATGGCCAGCCCGGTCACCAGATTTGAATCCGTTAGATTTTTTTTACTGGGGAACTGTAAAAGAAAAAGTGTATTTCAAGCCGATTCAAAATGTAGCTGAGCTACGGCAAAGACTATTGGAAGCAGCTGAGTTTGTTAATAACCGTGGATTCGCTCGTTTAATAACCCGATCTTTTTTAAGAAGATGTCGAGCGTGTATTGCGGCTGAAGGAAAACAGTTTGAGCATTTGCTGTATAGGTAAATCATCATTAGCAGCATTTTGAAGCCCACTGTTGTGCAAACAGTTATCCTTAAGGGTCGTTGTGCGTTTTCATAATCGCTGTTTAATTAGAAAATTTTGAAAAATTTTCATCAGTTTTTTTTCAAATAAAAATTGTGGATAAGTTAACGAGTAATCATCTAAGTGTTATACCATTGTGGAATCGTTATTAAATGCGCCAACTTTTAAGGTTACTTGCCGAACTCTCGTAGTACATTTTTTCCAGTACAGCCAGTTAAAGTTGAGCAAAGTTTTACTTTGGAATACTTGGTTGGGAAATAAGTGGCAATTTTTCCTGAACGAGAAAAGTTGGCAGTAAGGTTGAGACACCAGTTTGAAGATGCATTATTCATCATTACATTGTAAAAATAAAATCCAAGAAAAGTTAATATTTGTAGTAACAGGAGTTGATAGACTGCCGTAGGGTGTGAAATTTCTATATCTTTTTCAAAGACCTATAATTTTCAAAACACATACATAAAATTTTTTTAAATATTTCTGATAGCTGTTATGACTTTGCCTATCACCCGGTTTCGGTTTGACGTCGACTTCTGGGACACCCTGTATGTATACAACCATTACTATTAATAGCATTAATTTATATTATCATTATCAACACATGTGTTGATCCATTAAATCTGTCTTCAGACCCCACATCCAATTAGTTACAAAAAACTAGTTTTCTGCTACTGATGTAAAGGTCAGTAGTACCGCATTTGATGGGGTTCTCATGCGTTTCAGTGTCACCTTTTCGGATACTTTTTGAAACGACCTGTTATTTTCCAAAACATTTTCCCTAAACAGCAATGAAGAAGGAGATACAATTTTTCGAAAATTCGGCAACTTTGTAACAGAAAACTGTGTTTCTTTACAACCCGAATACAATTAATCACAAGAAGCTAGTTTTTTACTACCGATATCAAGGTCAGCAGTACCGCGTTTGATGAGGTACTCATATACGTTTCAATGTCACCTTTTCTTATAAATTTCGAAACGACCTGCTATGTTCCAAAACAAGCTCCCCAAACCCCATTGCAACAGTGTAACTTCCCGCACTCTGACTAACGCCAATTTGGATTCAGGACCTCCAATAATACGCTGCAGGTTATTATCTTAGTAACTGCGTTGGTTCGTTGTTGCACGTCCGTTTATTTTGGACTGATTAAATCACATCCAGGGTGGGGGAGGGAGAAACGACCTGTTTCCGGAACAGCAACGTGTTCGTAAGTTAGACGTTCACACACGGGACCGGGCTATTTGTTATTCTGGAATGCAGAAGGTGAACCCGAAAGCTCGAGAACTTACCCTGTATGAACAAGGAAGGAAAGACTGATATTAAATATATCGTTATTAAAAACCAGAAGAGTCGTTATTTTTTGATTTTTGGAAATATTCAACAATTTCCCCGAATCAGGGGTTGAAATGATTTTGAAGTTTTGGATCAATATTTTCTATAAAGGGGGGTTCTTTAAAAAAATCAATGCGTGCACTTATTCCCAATGCGGGCATTTATTGGTCAGACACCAATAAACATAAAATAAACTATAAATAATATAACATAACCAATAAGTCAATATTTTTAGTGAGAAGGATGAACCTGATGCTTTAATAATAAATTATCAACATTTGGCATCAATTTTGTAAGGTTTAATCTTGAATCTCCTCGGCTAATGATGTCCAGTCTGTTTCTTTGTTTCGTTAGGAGATTGGTAACAGCGTTGAACCCCCTTTCCACTAGGTATGACGATGGAAAGGAAATTAAAAATTTCCTCGCTATATTCCATAATACGGGATAAGTAACGGGTATGTTGTTTTGCAGCCAGAATTGCTGATACCCGTTTTTAAACTGAACCTTAAGTTCTTCGTTTGTACTTAGTTCAGTCAGTTCCTCTTGTATTATGACATTCGTTTCTTCTATGTCACCATCTGGATTAATTATCCACGGTGGTATTACCGTAGTCAAAATATCCTTAAACCTAGATTCAAAATCTGAATAGAGGGCGTAAGTTGAAACGTCGTCTTCCTGGCAGCTTGTCTGTGACAAATTGGGGAACTGAGAAAATTCGCTTCGTCCAATATTTTGCTTCATTAGTTTAACTCTGGCAAGAAACGCTCATAAGATGGACTTTGTTTTAATCAAATTTAAACTGTCGCCTTGTAATTGCAAATTAACCATATTAAATTTTGTAAACAAATCTGTTAAATAGGCGATGTCTGTTACCCTTTTCATTAAATTTTCTTTTAAAATTTTATCTTTAGTATCCAGAAATTCTAAGATAGTCTCAAAAAGTGCAAAAAATCTTGTCAAACATAAGCCTTTCGACAGCCAGCGTACTTCAGTGTGAAGGAGTAATTGATGAAAGTGTTCGTCATTTTCTTCACACAACTGCGCAAATAACCGCGTATTCATCGCGTTGCTTCAGATTCGGTTTACTGCATCAATGACTAAATGAAGTGATTCATGCAATTTAACACTCAAATTTTTAGCAACTAAATGTTGTCGATGGATGACGCAATGTATTGCTAACACCCCTGACACATTTTGTTTTAAATAGCTTATAAATCCACGATAACGTTCAACCATGGCAGGTGCTCCATCTGTAGCTACTGATATTATATTTGATAAAGGAATTGCTTTTTCAATGAAGTAATCCTTCAAAACATGAAATATTGATTCACCTTTAGTGTCGGTTATTAAAGTTCTTGCGAAGAGCAGTTCTTCGTAGATTTCCTGATTCATCATAAAACGAACATAAGCCAATAATAATGCTGCATTATCAGGTAAAGTTGACTCGTCCAGTTGTATAGAGAAATGGGTCGTTTGCAAATAATTACATAAGAAGCTTTCAATATCAGAACTCATCAATACGTCTTTTAACAGTATTGTTGCTCAAGGGAATTCTTTTAATGATATCAGATGCAGGTTTGTGTAAAACAGTTTTTAAAACCTTTTCAACGGCTGGCAAAATTAACTTCTCTCCGATAGTATGGGGTTTTCCGGATTTTGCTATAAGTAACGAGATATTGTAAGACGCCCGCAAACCATCATCATTTCTTTGTGACGTCGAAGCGAACATTCTGTCCAGTGTAGGTCTCTTCTGAAATTTATCTTTGAGTGTTTGAAAGTATTTCAAATCTTTCTCTGTTTTATCAGGGTGTCATCTTGTCAGATGATCTTGCAGGTTAGATGGTTTCATAGCGTCATTGCCCAAAACTTTGTTGCATAAAAGGCACATAGGCGATTGTTTGTCCGGCAATGATGGAATGAAGCCAAATTTCAAATAATCAACACTGTACTGTCTACATTTCTTTTTAGATTCGGACATGGCATCAGTCATCTGTGGGCAAAATTAAATTATTTAAATAAGACAGAAAATCCAGCAGCTGTATATTAAAAATATTTTTTGATGTTTCCGAAAACGTTCCATAATTCGAACATCTTCTTGCAACAATTAGCTCGAATTACGGAGATTGCACTGTAATTATATTACCGATTGCTAAAACTTTCAAAAAGAAACTATTGAGGAGTACTCGTGTAATTTTGCATGATTGAATATTTAACTACTAATAACTAAAGTCATGTTTGGCGTAATTTATCTGTCTTTGCTAACTACGAGTACAAAACTAAAATTTAATGAAAAATAATGTACTTACCTTTCTCCAGCACCCGCAAACAAAATAACACTGACTCACTATAATTTGTGTGATATACTATCTGTTTATATTTTTTAAAATATTTTCTTAGCACTTTCCTTTTCAAGATTCAGGAAACGAATAAACGTATTTGTCCCACATTCGTATTTATAGAGTGACGAATTGAACAAGTCAGTGCAAGGTAGCGAAGCTCTGAGACTGCGACTCTCAGGTTTTTACAAGTTCAAAATGTATTGCGACCACAAAGCGAATACCAACATCCTACAACTTACACAATTTTATAAATATATATAATAAATTTTTTACTTCATAGGTACTTTTATAAATAATGTATATGTTTTGATATTATAAGATAGTATGATGTAAGTAAATAGGTACTATCAGTGTATGTGTTGAGATCCACTATCGTGGACCCCCATATTCATTTCATGGACCCCCAAATTTTTTTTCGCTGACGTAGACCCCTTGCAGGTTGTCATAGACCCCTAGGGGTCGATATAGACCACTTTGGGAATCAATGACCTAACCTGACGCTTTGTAGTACTCCTTGGTGGGCCAGTAGTCGGCCGTCTTCGTGTTCCTCTACCTTCTTCTATCGACAGAAAGTCAGTATGAAGGGGGCTGTATGAAAACTATTGTACAGTGGGTCAAGCTAGCAATTAATATCATTCAGCATAGGTGTGATCAATCTGTGCCTTTAATGAAATTCAAGTTGAACGGTCAACGATTACGAATATATGCACATGCACGTTAACGTCCTAAACGGATTATTCCGCTTTGGCTACTGGCAGATGGCGGAATCAAAATTAGAATAGTGATCAATATTCTTACAGGGTGGTTCAGAAATCGGGGACAATGTTTGCGAGACAGGAATCTTGGAAAATAACACGGAAAGTTCGGCTCAAAAATAGGTCTTGAAGTGTTGCAGATTGCTCCACAAAGACGATATCCTATGGATAAAGGAGCGGTCGTATCGACCAGTTTTGGAAGTACGAAGTTCGACACGGTTACGATGGGAGGCGAACGGGTGCCGAGTCTGTCTGTTAGAGAAGAGTCGTCGATCAATGATTGACTCGTCTATAACTTGGAAACTATCGTTTGGATGTTTATGAAATGTTCATACAAGGTTACTGCTATTACAAGGACGAAAAAACCTTGCAGTTATACAGTGTTTCAGTTTATTGTTGCATAACTTTAAGATTCGATAGAACTTTTAAAATTAATGCATAAAGTCTATATAAACATGGGTCGAAAAATGCGTGGCTTCCGAAATACAGGACATTTATGTTTTGATCCCCTTGGAGATTTCCAAAACCATTGTCAATTATTTGGCGATGCACTCTTACAAATACTGAGCGAGTTGGATGTCGTCTGTTTGGAAATCTTCGTGCGTACTCTCTGGCTGCTTCTGCTGCGTTTCCATTACAAAGCCATACACAAAATGAATATCCGCTAACTCTTGATTGGAGAATAAAAATGGCATTTTTATAAAACTTACAAAAAAAAACAGGTAAAAGAAACTAAATTTCGTGCATTCACAATTGCAAAAAAAAACGTTTCAGGTTTCAACAGACAACAAAACTAACTGTCAACTAATTGACGTTTCACCTTATTCTGCTTTCAATTTCAAAAATACTTGCAGGCTCAGCCTACTTCTAAAAATTATCGAGATACTGACTTTTTAACGTTATTTCATCATAAATAATTAAAAATGTATCGAACCTTAAAAATCGAAATATCTCAAAAACGGCTAACTATAACCAAAATTCACAAGAGAGCTTTTTTATGTTGAAAAGTGCGAAAAATCAGCTTTTTTATTCAAAAAGCAAAAAATTACACTAAGAAAAAATTTTCGGTCATTTTAATACACTACAGGTACAGTAGAGAGCGCCCTCTAGCGGATACAGTAAAACTATGCCCATGGTTCGTTTTGTCGTACCAAAAAACTCTTGTATACCAATTTTCACTATTATACATCAACTATTGTTCGAAATATTTAAAAAAAACTATTTTAGAAAGTAAATTTAAACACCCTGTATTTCGGAAGCCACGCATTTTTCGACCCATGTTTATATAGACTTTATGCATTAATTTTAAAAGTTCTATCGAATATTAAAGTTATGCAACAATAAACTGAAACACCCTGTATATTCACGAGCGTTTGTTCTTAAAACTGAAAGTGAAAGAGTAGTTTCAATAGAGGCGTCGCGTATCGGTCGTGCTGCAACTCATGCTCACAAAATCCTATTTGCGTTTGACCACGGTAGGAAGTGTAAGATCCAACTTAGTTAAAGCCATTTGTAATGTTATTTTCGCATTGTGCTATAGAAATATTGGGATTGGTTCTGAACCATCCTGTATGCATATTAATGTTCTAAACGGATGATTTCGCTTTAGCGATCTGAATCAGAATTAGAGTGGTGATTGGTCATTCGCGCGTGCCCGTATCAATAATTCCAATCAAACTTCTATTGATATCGCGGTGGTCATGGACCGGAAATCGCAGTCCGGGCGGCCCGGAGCCGCATTGCTTTGTTTCCATAGACCCCCCTCCCTCACCGTTGAACCGTTAATTACGTTCGATTGTTTTTTGCGTTTTCCGGTGGGGGCATCCATCGCTCATAAGCGCGCATTGATGAAATACTTTAGGCCCGCAATTGGATGTTTAATGATTAATAAGTGATCCGCATGTGGAGATTTAAAAATTTTTAATGAATTGTAAAGATTAGATTTTGAACGTGAACGTAAAAATGTTGAACGTTCTTAAAATCCCGAAGACCCAGTATATAGAATATTTTAAATATTATGAAAATCTTGAAAATTTTGTAATCTTTGAAAATGAAGATTTTTGAAAGTTTTGGGAAGTTTGAACATGAAAATTTTGATTGCGAAAATTATGAAAATCAACATTTTGGAGATTTATAAAATTCTGAAAATTTTTGTAACCTCAAAAATCCTTGAGATTTAGAAAATTTTGAAAATGAGGATTTTGAAAATTTCGGAGTTTACTAATTTTGAAAATTATGAAAATTTTGATTGTGAAAATTTTGAAGGTCAACACTGAGGATTTTGAAGTTTTAGAAATATTGAAAATTTTGGAATATCTGAATATTTTGGGGGTTCTAAAAATATATAAAATTCTGATAATATAGTACGATTTTTTGGGAAGTTTGGAATCTTGAAAATCTTGAAAACCTTAAAAATTTGAAGATCTTGGAAATTGAAAATCAAAGATTTCGAAAATTGAAAATCTTTAAAAATCTGGCAATATAAAAAGTTTGGAAGTTTCAGAATTTTTGAAAAATTTTGAAACTATGAAGAATTTAAGAGTTTTTAGATATTATCGAAATCGTCAAGATTCTGAAATTATGAAAAATTAGAAAATCATGGGTATTTTAAAAATTTTGAAATTTTTGAAAACCATGGAACTTACGAATAATTATGTTTTTAAAATGTAGGAAGTTTTGAAAATATTTTAAATCTCCGAAACGAAGGGTTCTTAAAGTTCTGAAAACTGAAAATTTTTGCAATCCGAACAATTGTGAAAATTTTGAAGATATTGAAAATTCTGGGAATTTAGAAAATTTCGAAAACATTGAAGATAATGAAAATTTTGAAACTGTTGAAAATTATGAATATTTTGAAAATTCTGATAATTTTGAAAGATTAGAATTTTGAACGTGAACGTAAAAATGTTGCACGTTCTTAAAATCCCGAAGACCCAGTATATAAAATATTTTAAATATTTTAAAAATTTTGTAATCTTTGAAAATGAAGATTTTGAAAAGTTTTGGAAAGTTTGAACATGCAAATTTTGATTGTGAAAATAATGAAAATCAACATTTTGAAGATTTCTAAAATTCTGAAAATTTTGGTAACCTCAAAAATCCTTGAGATTTAGAAAATTTTGAAAATGAGGATTTTGAAAATTTCGGAGTTTACTAATTTTGAAAATTATGATAATTTTGAAGGTCAACACTGAGGATTTTGAAGTTTTAGAAATATTGAAAATTTTGAAAACGTTGAAAATTTTGGAATATCTGCATATTTTGGAGATTCTAAAAATATATAAAATTTTGATAGTATAGTACGATTTTTTTGGAAGTTTGAAAATCATGAAAACCTTAACAATTTTGATGATCTTGGAAATTTAAAATCAAAGATTTCGAAAATTGAAAATATTTAAAAGTTTGGCGATATAAAAAGTTTGTAAATTTCAGAATTTTTGAAAAGTTTTGAAACTATGAATAATTTAAGAGTTTTTAGATATTATCGAAATCGTCAAGATTCTGAAATTATGAAAATTTAGAAAATTATGGGTATTTTAAAAATTTTGAAATTTTTGCAAACCATGGAACTTATGAATAATTATGTTTTTAAAATTTAGGAAGTTTTGAAAATATTGGAAATCTCGGAAACGAAGGATTCTTAAGGTTC